ATCTGTCTGCTTTTTGACTTATCGTGTCATCTCCAGAGAACCCAGATAGAGGGTAGAAATTCTGAAGATTGAGCGTGCCTTAAGCTTCTTGCAAGCCATCAGAGGAGGTCATCATCTGTAGTTTGAGAAATGCTGATTTTATCTGAACACCTGAAATGAGGAAGTCTCGCAGTTTCTATCTGCCAGCCAAAGCTGTGAGGGAAGGCTAAAGTGTTTGAAATCCCAAATCTCAGCCACCAGGGCCAAGGACGGGGAAGCCCACCTGGACAGTGCTCTCAACACCTGCATGTGAGGCAGAATATGTTCAGGTGTTGGGGCAGGCAGGTTGGGCACCATATGCAGGGGGCAGCTGGGGCTGTTTGGGGCTCTCAGCCTGGAGGGGCTGGCTGAGGGGATGGAGGGGTGACTCTTCAAGGAACCACAAGAAGCTGCCCTGCCTGTGAATTGAAAACTTGTATGTGGGGAGGAGGAACAAGGAAAGAAATGGGCAGCCCTTAAAGGGCTTTCTTCTCCACAGCTTAAACTGAGCCACTGCTCACTGGTAGCCCACTGCTATCTCCCTCAGGTGCAAGCTTTAAACACTTATCTTCAGAGCAGCCTTCCAGGAGATCTGCATACTTCTGTGGGTCCTTTTTGCAACGTTATTTCAACTTGCCCAGCTTTGCATTTAGTGCCAATTTGATCTCAAAAGCTGTTTCTGATTACTCCATGCATACCTGTAAGTTACAAAGAGGTCTTCTTCCTGTGCGTGCTTGCGAACTAGAGCACTGCAGTAGACTGCAACAATGTGCAGGATTGATACTGGTTCATCCCTCAATGCTTTACACTTAGAAGCTCAAATGTAAACGTAAGTGTTAAAGGGCGCGATTGAATTTGGATGTGCTGCATCAGACTGACTCCATGTTTGAGGCTCTTGCTGAGAGGGCAAAATTCTCTTCTCAGGTTCCCAGAGTAGCTCCTGACTCAGTCTCCCGGTCCCCTGCACTGATATGTGCAGGTGTTTCATCCTGTGAAAGAAGTGGAGCGCCCTGACAGCAGTGTTCTGTCACCAATTGAGGGATGGGCAATAATGGCAAAGCCCCCAAAAGAGCACAACACCCTTTCTTGAGTCACTTGCTCCATGTCCAAGAGAAACCAGAAGGTTTTATGTCACTCGGGCAGTGCACGTGTAGCCTCATCCTTCTAATTACCACTGAGCTGATGATCTAAGGCTGCTTTGTGGATATGAGGACAGAATTTTGCCTGCAGGATGCACGATTACCAACTGTGCCTCCTCTATAAATCAGCTGTAAGTGCATTTGGAATAGCTGCCAGGTCGGCTGCCGAGCTTACTCGAGGACACAGCTCCAGCGACACCATCCCACGTGGCACAGAGCTGTTGCAGTTTTAAAATCAGTCTGATTTTTTTCTTTAACAGGGGAGCCCAGTGTAACTCCGTCAAGACTGGAGTGACACTCTGAATCTGCATCTGCCTCATGTGAGTTAAAATCCTGGCAGCAGCATTTTGCATAAGCTGGAGCCTCTGTAGAAATCTTTTTTTTTTCCTTTTTTTTCCTTTTCAGGAGAGCTATAAAATTGTTACTGTATGTGTCTTGGCAGCAAAGGTAAAAACAACCACGAAAATGCATGAGAATGGCATACCTTACTGCACAACCCCGCTCCTTGCAGCTCGGCTCCCTCCTAACACTCCTCACAGATCGGAGGCTTGCAGCGTTCACTCCCGGGGTCCTGCTTTTAACTTTCACTAGTGTCATTTTAAGTGATGATGTGAAGGAGAAGCTGAAATGCTGTCAGCTGGCTGCAGTTTTTTAAAGATTTGGTTGTTTTCTCTCAAGCCCAATTACATAATGCACAAGCACGGGGTGTCCATCACCCTGAGCCATTGGAGCATCTGTCCGTGTTCAAGCTCAAATGATTTTAATAACTTTTCCATTTGGAGGAGAGGACTTGGCACGGTGGCAGGGACACAGCCATCGAGCAGTGAAAAGGCAGAAAGGAGGTTGGGGTGAGTTGCAACTCATGCTTCGATTGTACTCTCACCCTGCGTGCTTTGGGCCGAGGGATGGCGAGGGCACTGGGGGCTGTGGTGTGGTGGTTCTGCTTCACCTTCATTGGGATGGGGCTGCTCAGAGGGGAGAGCTGAGCACAGGATTCACTGCATGGCAAACTGCCCAATTCTTGCAGCACCACATCCTGTGAGTTTCCTCCCTTTGTGTTTCAGCTCAGGGCCGGGGAAGTTTAAGCTCCCAGAAAGATTTAAGCTACTTTTTTCATCGTCCAACTGCAGAATAAAATACTGCTGTGCCCTCTCTTTATCTCCTTGGATGCCTGAAGATAAGATGAGAAAGCAGGGCCAGCCCTAAGTACAATAGTAAAATACGTTTTTTATCTAGGCTAAGCAGTCTCTTAATGCATGTGGCGGGGGCATTGTCCCCAGATGTGCTGCTGTCATTGCAGTACTGTTAGCCTATTCATGTTTGGTCTCAAGGAGATGGGTTGCTTGTTTGCCTGAAAGCTCACGTTGCTTTAACAGGTGTTCACAAAGCTTACAAGAAGCGTGGGCTGTGGTTGGTACCAGCTGATGCAGCACGGGCTGTGGTGCAGTGCTGTGGTGCAGTCTAGGGGGGCTCAGTCATCTCTCAGTCTGTTCCCAGTTGAGTGTAGTTAAAGGAAAGTTTATCTTGGACAGTATTGTGGTAACTGGGGAGCACTTGTTGTCCTTTTCCCATCCCCAGGAGCTCAGTGTCCCCATGTAGTTTGTGTATCAACAAGAGGGCTCTCGTTTTCCAGGTATGGTGGAACGGTAGAAAAATAGGGAAGGGACATGAGGTATGGATGAGCTGGTAGCTTACTTTTATTCAAAGAGGAATCGGGGGGCACTATTTGTAGCTTAGAGGTAAAGGGGAATAATTACTTTGCACAGAAATTAAAATTCGGATTAGCCGTGTTGTAGTACTGTCTGAGCAGAGACTTGGAATGATGAAACCTGTTCTTCAGCCTTTTTCCTACTGGTGTGTCAGCTCATTTCTGTAGGCTCAGAAAGTTCAGTGGAGGCTTGCAGTGATAAATGTGATGGTAAGAGAAATACAGAAGGGAAGAAGCTGAGTGAGGGCATAAGTGATCAGCCACACGTCAGCTGTTCACAGATGCACAGGCTGTGTGACTGAAAGCTCTATGGTTTGTCTGGAAGGGTTCTGCTGGAGAAGCTCACAAACCACCTCTGTTTGTCCAGAGGAGATGCCAGCTTGCTCCTTGAGCTTTGTTTATGGCTCAGCTGTGCCACGGCGGTTGGTGAGTTCAGAAGGGGCAGGGATTTCTGGGAGAGATGTTTTGTTGGGAAGTGATGGTTTATGGATAAATTGGCAATGTGGTCTCAGGGAGCTGCATGGACAGAGTGGGGAATAGAGGCTGCTTCACACCGTGGGGATCGTTGCCGTGCCCTCGCCCTCTGAGAGTACGTGCAGGTGTATTTATCACTGTTTTCCCTGGGAGGTATCTCTACTGTCCTGCATCAAAGGAGTTCCTTTTTCCAGATGATGCTCTGGTGTCACTCTCACAATGTTCATCACCTAACTGCCTCTTGCTCCCTCCAACTCTAGCTCACTCCCCAGGATTGCCTTGTCAGTCACTGCTTCCTTCATTAGCTGTAGTTTTTGATTGCTTATTCCTACCTGTAGCTCAATCAACCCTTCCTTTCCTAAAGGACAGAAAAGGCTACGTGCACTGTGTGTTATATCTTCTTATTGATATACGATGTTTGCCACTGGTCTAATGATGCTTGAAGATCTTGGTAATTGTTTGGCTTTGGTTATCTGTTCAAGAACATTACTGGTTTGCTTTTTGCATTTGAATGATGTTGAATTTAATGAGAAAACTGAACTTTTAGAATACTTCTGGATTGTTAATAGATATGGGATCCTTCTCATGTGGCTACTGTGAGTCTTATTTCTTTGACAGTTCTTGCCTTTTTAGTATTTTTGTAGTATTTCATGCATTTGTTTTCTCCTTTCAGATTGGGCTTTTGTATTGCACAGTATACATACGGTGGTGATTACCTGGGCAGTATAGACAAGGGCATTGATAGGCATTGTGATGCCCACAGATGTGTGAGCTACCTCTCAGGAAAAGCAGTCTGTCTTCTAAAGAGCTTACTTACATGTTTTCAAACTTAACTGAGTAAAACACAACTTAGTCAAGAATCTGAGACACAGCTGGACCCATTGGACCCCCATAGGCCCCATTGAAATAACGGGTTATATTTGACCTCATTATATCTTAGAACCAATTTAAGACAGTGTCATGCAACAAATGTCAACACACTGTGACAGAAACACAACGATTGCCATCTGTCACAGAGACACAGCAATTTCCTTCTAAATGGTCATTTAATGATCTAATTAAATAGCAACATTTCCAGTGCATGGGAAGGTCATTTGCAGGAAGAAGACAGTCCTGAAGGTAGGAATGACTTGGTTGAACTAGTCATTCATTTTGCATTGAGCAAATGTGTATGTCACAGATGAGCAGCTCGTAAGAAATGTGAGAGCAGCAAGCTTGCCTAAAAGAGTAGCATTTTGGTACAAGAGTAATAGCTAACAGATTTGTACAGTACCATATGGTATTATTAACAAACAAACCGTATGTTAAGTTGACAGCTCTACCTTCAAGCTAACTTAGTCTGCAGCAAACATAAATTCCCCTGAGATGAAATCTGAAGACAATGCTAAGCTTTGGGATTGTATCCAGTAGCACAGCAGCAATGAATTTCAGGCTTTCTAACCACAAATACATGTGCTCCCAAAATGTATTGGTTTCTTCGCCAGCTTTGTGAAATCACAGCAAACCAAACCCGATCTGAGCAGGTGGAAGAGGGAGCGTTTGTGCATCTGTGTAATGTGGAGGAGGGAGGAGGGCGAATGGGAACGGGACTTGTGACTGCCTTCTTGTTTAACCCCCTAGCTGTGTGCAAATTTTCTAACTGAAATCTCATCTTGGTACAGTGTATAAATCCCCTGAATACGAATCTCTTGGATTTGACCTGACCGTAGAAAGATTAGTTTCCATTGGATACCCTCATGAGCTGCTCAATTTTGTGTATGATCCTGCATTCCCTACCAGGTAAATGACTCACAGATACCAACCCAGCCTGCTCGAGGCCTTGATTACTTGTTCTGTTACGTTCAGAGGTGACACACTGAGGCCAGGTGTTCAGAGTTGTGCCTTTGAAGCCTGTGGCTTCCCACAGATCATGGGGAAGAGAGCGGACTGCTTGGGTGCACGGAAGGCTTCTGTGCACTGAAGTCCATGCTAGCAAGGAGAAGGAGAGCAGGAGAGGCTGCTGAAGTCACGATCCAAAAATAACTTTCAAAGCAAAGACAGCAGAGACACAATGGGACCTGGAACAAAATCAAAATCAAAGCTTGGGAAGAAGGAGCCGCTAATGTCCATGAGGCCAGAAAGTCTTAGAACATTTTTCTATAATTATTTTAATGAATTAATGTGTTTTCCTTTGGTTTTGTCAAGCCAGATGCAGCAGCATCCTGGTGCATAAGACATCCTGAAAAATTAAGCTGATGGTAACCAGCAGTAGAAGTGGGACTGACCCAGTCCACTTGCCTAGATGAATCAAACGTGGAAAATCAAGTTAGCGGTGCAAAGCTACTGAATTCTTACATTTTTGTCTGTTGGTGGCAGAAATTAAAAGGATATTGCTTGTTTTAAAGGCATTTAATCTAGCTCAGTGCCTTTAAGCCATTTCCACTTGTGTCTTTGCTGGATTTTGCTTTTGGCTCCTCTGGGGCTTTTTTTTTTTTTTTTTTTTACAAAAGACTGGAGCAGAGGCCTGGTGCTCCAGTTTTAGTCTGGCAGCCTCCTTCCTTCCTGCCTGCATGATTTACATTGAGACTGGTGCTTTGTGCTCCCATGCCCATAACAAAACATTATGAGCACGTCATGAAGACTCCTTAAATCCCTCCCGTTCATCCCAGGAAAGGGCCAGAAAGGGTTTATCTGTGGGAAAGCTGCTTTCTCAGGCGCAAGATACTAAAGAAGTGAGACAGAGTTTTGCTGGACTTGGAAAAATTGTCCCAAGCATTCTGTGCCATACTTCTGTGTCCCATCTGGCTTGTCTATGACTGACAGATGAAAAGGAGGGGAGAAATTCCCTTATCCCACCTCCCTGCAAGGCTGTCAGTGATCACAAGCACGGGTGTCAGATTCGTGACCCTGTAGAAGAGGTCCTGGTAAATGCACAGCTAAGCCTGTGCCAGGTTAAACGGCTCCACTTTCAAGTCCATGCAGAGCAGATCGGCTGTATCTTCTACCCTGGCAATGCAGGGCATTGTTGTTGCATACCTGCACCCAGGTAAAAAGTGAGCGCCCATCTGCACAATAAAAGCAGCTTTGGTCTGGTGCCCCCTGCCAAGCAAGCCAGCTGCTCTAGAGCTGGCATTGAAAAGAGCTTGTACCGAAATAGTCACCGCTTTCACTGTTCTCTTCACTGTTAATTGCTTTCTTAACAGAGGCCTGGTGTTTGATACCCACTATGGAAACCTGCTGAAAGTTGATGCCTATGGAAACCTTTTGGTGTGTGCACATGGCTTTAATTTCCTCAGAGGGTGAGTGCTTGCTCTTGACTGCTCTTTTTGACTTAATGTGATCTGTAGGGCACTCGTTGCATAAGGACTTGTGAAGACTTCTGATGCCACGTCTAAGAAAATTATGCAAGGCCTGCCTGGATGCTTTCCTGGTCAACCTGCTGTAAGGAACCTCTGCTGATCTCCAGAGGTCACTTCTAACCCCCTGTGATTCTATGGTTCTGTGATGCATCTCATGCCATTTCCTGCACCCTTTTCCATCTGCTTGCTTTCCTTGTGCCCCAGAGAAGGTGCTTAGGGAAGCAGAGGGGGCTGCAGTGCAGCGAGCTTGATGTATCCCAGCAAATCCCCTCCTACCTGCAAGGCAGAGGGATGGAAGGCAAGCACGAGCCAGCTCCGGGGCCTCAAGGTGATGAGCCTGTCATTGCAGGCATGTAAGTCCCTGTAGCAGGAGGTCAACATTTTATAAAAGGCTTTATGAATGCAGTCGAGTTCCTCCTCGAGTCAAAGGTGATCTTCAGAAGCTCCAGAAATGAAGGAAACAAGAACAATTTAGTGACTTTAGTCGTTACCACACCACCAGTTAATTGTAGCAGGCCCCAGGCAAGACTCCTGCAGTGCAGCCCTGCACTGCCCTGTGGGAAGCTGCTCAGAGGGGTGTTCAACAGCACATGGAAAGTGGGGGAAAGTTTAAGATAAGCAAACAATGAAAGTGCAGATGATGTAAGGCATACCCATAGCCAGCAGCATGGGGCTTAAGGTCGAGTCGCAGACTCCTGACCACAGTTTTCCTCTGGGGGCTTGGCTCCTTTGCTGACTCAGGATGAAGGCTCTGTGCCCAGTGGTGCTGCAGCCAGCACAGTGACAGTGACGTGCAGTGGGTGCTGTTTTGCTAGTGCACACAGGAAAGCTAAGTGTTGATTAAAGCAGACAGATAGTACTTGCTAATGGACCCTACTAAAGCTATGTTCTGCAGGTCAGCTACTGTATCCTGAGTATGTTTTGTGGCTTCATTCTGTTCCACCTTATCTGTTCTCAGGCCTGAAACACGGGATCAATATCCGAACAAATTTATCCAGAGGGATGACACAGATAGGTTTTACATTCTGAACACATTGTTCAATCTACCAGGTGAGTCCTGTGTGACTGTCCCTGTATCTTTGAAGCCTGTAAAGCTTTGCCAGTGTCTTACTCAGCTGTTTGATTTACTTATTTTTGCATGAACTTTCTTCTTTCAGGCACAGGGCCCAGATTTAGCTGGCTGTGTGGTGTTATCCTTGTTTTAAAGTCTTGCTTTTCTTCTTTACAGAGACCTACCTGTTGGCTTGCCTCGTGGATTTCTTTACTAATTGTGACCGGTACACCAGGTATGTGTCCTCTCTGGTTAGACACAGTGATAATACTGTAAGATTGTTGTTATAACATGCAATGTATATAATAGAGATGCACCTGCTGTTAGTATCACTTGATGCCTCTCAAGTGATGTCAGTGGGGAAATGTTCAGACCTGTTATTCTTCTGATATTAAGGGAATTTAGTGCTGATGAGATGCTCTATGTGTGCAGCCAAGGCTGGGTATGTGGGTCTCCTTCATAGGGCATGCCAGTGTCACTGTACTGGCTGACACTGGTATTTGGGCCAGACCACATCCATATTAAAGAGTGATTACAGCCACTGCACAGCTCATTTTCAACCCATGTCCTTTGGATCCACGTTTGAGCAGGTAGCTGAGAGGCTAAGTTTCCTCAGCCAGTTACCACAAGTTATAATTGAGGACTTTGTGTAATCAAAAGTGAAATATTCAGATATTCAGTGTAGTTTAAAAGGCTATTTCAGCAATGTATGTATTTTCCTAGCTTTCAAATAGATGTAAACATAAAAACAAGCTGCAGGTCTGAGAGTGCTACTGTGCAGCTGACTTCTGTGATGGGTCATTTTTTCATGTTTTGTGACTGGAAAGGAAAAGTTCAATCATGTAATATATGCATTGCTGCAGTGAAAGAGTCAATAAGAAATGAGTGTGGTAAGATAAAAACGCTCCATATGTTTTGAACCCTGAAATTGGCTGCAGCCTCCTCTTTCTCTCCACAGCTGTGAAACAGGGTTTAAAGATGGAGACCTCTTCATGTCATTCAGGAGTATGTTCCAAGATGTCAGAGATGCTGTTGACTGGGTTCATTACAAGGTGATTGCAAGAACTGCTTGAGACATTTGTTGTCTTAAATGAGTTAGAGGGACTGGTTTGTAACTCCTCAGTTAAGATATTCCACTTTTGGGCAAGAGCCTTGCTTTGCCACCTAGTGAGCAAATGATAAACTGCAGTTTTACTCAAGCAAGTCAAGGTCTCTGGCACTGCAGTATTTCTCTGCTGGCTTCCTATTTCTTTTTATAGTGCCTACACTGTTTCCTTGCTATGATTTGTGGGGTTTAGAATGTGTTGCCGTGAGGATATTTGCATTTAAAGTTCACAACTTCACATTGTCACAATTTTTAAAAAAGCAATTTTATTGTCAGTATATCACAATGGTACTATCTGGTGTTGTCTGAAAGCTATCTGCATCAAACAGAATTCAGCAGAGGAAGCCATTTTTCAGCACACTGGTGTGCAAATTTAGAATGTAGATCTTGTGAGCATTAACGCCTCGTTCAGGACCTGATCTTCTTGTTCTTCCTCATTCGAGAGTCTGTTGGGGTGGGATGGGGAACTGTCACAGGAGATCTGTGCTCGCAGTTGTACTTGTGGTTGTTTGAGTCATGCAGAAGTTGGGTATCTGTTTTTCTTTCCTTATGCAATGTTTATATGATACATGTTGGAGTTGGCCACTATGATGGTCAGTGTTGGAGACAGGTCGTTGACTGTCTTGCTTGCTATGGCAAATCTATTTTTTGTTTGTTTCTATTGTATTCCCTCCTGAAAGGGTTAAAATGCTGAAGTGGATTATTTACCATGGTGAGGGAATCGATGGATCACAGAGTTTGTGATGGTCCCTGCTACTCAAAGCCTCTCATCTCTAGAGTCACTGGTTCAGATTCGCCCTGGTTTGTACTTTCACAGCATTTTGGAGTGTGAAAGTTGGCATTACTGTGATGTCTCTTACATCATAAGTTTCCATCACCTCACTGGGTTCTATTGTTTCTATTTCAGGGGTCGCTCAAGGAGAAGACCCTTGAGAATTTGGAGAAGTACGTGGTGAAAGATGTAAGTGCGAGGTCGCTTCGTGTGCCGCGTGACATTCGGTACTGAGTAAGCAGGCAAGGAGTAAATACGCTGATTGGCTTTACTACATCACAGAACAGATAACGCTGTCATTTCTATTGTAAGAACCAAAGACAAAGTGGAAAGTTCGGACGCAGCCTTTATTGTGAGCCAGTGATCCACGTGATTTCGTATTCACGCGTGCCTTTTTTACGTAAAATATAAAAGCCAGAGGAAACGTTGTCATGGGACACAGGTGGATATGCTGGCCAGGCTTACGTTGATCTTTTACGTTGTCTTTTGATGCTGAAAGCAACAGTAGTCCCACATTTTCTCTGCCCAAGCAATCCTCTGCTGCAGGCCTCTTTTTAAAAGTAACCGATGAGCATCACTGAAACAGAAGTATTCCTCAACCATCCAGCAAAAGCATTACACACCTCCTACAATGACAGATGGAGGGGAAAATCCCGAGACACTCAACGAAGCCCAGCACTTCGATAAGCCCCAAAATATGTATTCAGCACATCTAACTGAGCAAGCTCCCTTACTTTCGCCCTCTGCAGTGTGCAGGGCCTCTCTGGACCCATCATTTTATAATCGTTATTCAGTTTAAATGATCTCTGTGGGCTCCTCCTTTGGTGGTGGAATACCACTTTAAAGCAGTTAACCTTGTGTCTAGTTACATGCCTGCAAAATTCTCAGGAAACCATCCTGTGAGGTAATCAGCTCTTCTGGCAACGGCCCTAAGATTTATGATTCTGTAAAAATAGCTCCAGGAATAAATTCTCCCTAATTTGAGGTTGGAATCATAATACACTCCAACTCGTGGCTCATGCGAGCTCAGATTTCACCTCCTGTGGGCCCGTTCTGGGAGGAGATCTGGGTCTGGAGGGTGGTGGTAGCAGTGTCTTCCTTGTTTTGACTGATGGGATCACAGCTGAGCTGTGTTTTGCCCATGCTGTAGCTCTGTGTCTGACTGTTCTGTCCTCTGACTTGCAGGGGAAGCTGCCACTGCTGCTGAGCCGCATGAACGAAGTTGGGAAGGTGTTTCTTGTGACAAACAGCGACTACAAATACACAGATGTAAGTGCTGTGTGAACTGGAGCATCAGTATGTAATGGAATAAACAAAAGCCACCCGCCTAGTGTATGGGATTTGGCAAGATAGTATTTGGTGGGGAACTGGGTGCTTTCTGAGCTGGAATGATTTAGTGGTGAATGCCAATTAGGTGGTGAGACTTCTCGTTTATAGTCCTGGCTCTGTTTCTGACCTGGGGTAGGCCTGGCTTAAGTCGCTTTGTGCCTCTGTTCATAAGTGAGTAAGAAGGCGAAAGAGAAAGTGACAATCTGCTCTTCTGAGTGAGACAGCTCTTAGTGGGGAGAGGTCACCAAAACGATGATCTTGGAGAGGGCCAGGAGCCAGAGCAGGCTGTGTGCTGTGCTGCTGGCTGAATGTCAGGAGGATCACTGAAGGATCACGTGCCATTATAAAGCACTGCAAGATACAGCTGAAGCAACGTGCAGATTCCTGAGGCAGATGTGTTCTTTGATTATAAAACCCACCATTTTATTTCCCTTCACTTTAAGGCCAATCCATTCATTCTGTCTCCAAGGCTGATTTTCATGTAAATGCTGAAAATAAAGTTTTGTAGCCTGAAAAGACAAAAGCAGAAAAGTATGTCTTTATTAACTACATAAAAAACACAACTTGGAATACTTTCTGTCTTTCAGAAAATTATGACTTACTTGTTTGACTTTCCACACGGACCAAAGGTATGTGGTTTCTAGACTGCAGTTCCAAAAGGAGTTGATGTGCCTAATTATCTGTGTAGCTGGAAAGCATTTTAATCCTGCTTCATCAGCTGCATGGGATTAGTTGCTTTAATCTGGTTAAAATACGCTTGCTGTTTAGTGCCCCATTTGAATAGGATCAAAGCAAATACAATATAACAAAGAGAAAAGAGGCATCATCTAGTCTCAAACAATAATCTATGTTAGTGATAACATTATTTTAGCATTAATGCATTTTAGCTGTGGCGTTTTACAGCCAGATTTCTTCCTAATCTTATACAATGTTTTGTTAAAAAATGTCTTGATGGAAGGGAAAGAGTTGTGTGAAACAGCAGTATCTTTCTTGTGTGGCCTAGTTGTGCCTCTGCTATGGTAGTTCCAAAAGTTTGCCATGATTTTCCTGGTGTCCTGAGGATGAAGCTCAGCCCTGAAACTTTCGGAGAGAGGCTTAGGAGCTGAATTTATACTGCTTTCTCCATCTCTCATTAGGAGACCATCTCATATTCATCTCATATTCAAAAGATGTGTTTTCACACTGCGCACTGAAAGTGGAAGACCTAGGGAGAATTTTCAGAACGTGGGAAATCACGCCTGGTGTCCGTCAGGCAAGGCTGTGGTTTGCAGCTGCGCTCTGTAGAATAGAGTGCAGGCATTTTCCAGCTCTGGGCAAGTGTGTCAGTGTGTCCTTGGAAGGCTGAAGCCACAGTCACATTTGTCACGTTCAGAAATGGTGGCAGCAGTGTCATTTACTGCAGCCCTTTGCACAACAGCTGTGCTGTGACGTGGCTGTTCATTGCCTTCCTTCCCCAGTCCTGGGTTGGGATGGCTTTGCCACAAATGAATGCTCTATGAATGGCAACAGGGTCGTGCCACAGAGGCACAAGCTGGGAGAATCAGTGCATTTGATGGACCAGCTGTGTAGAAACATCATGGCTGAGGGCAATTAAATTCCCTGTGATCGTTTATGGGGTACCCAGTTCTAGGGTTTGTTTTTGTTTTGCAGCCTGGGAGTGCCCATCGGCCATGGCAGTCCTACTTTGACCTGATCCTGGTGGATGCACGGAAACCCCTGTTCTTTGGGGAAGGCACTGTGCTGCGGCAGGTGGACACGGTGAGCACATGGAGGGCACCTCAAAAGCTGGAGGGGATCATATGCAGTCTCTTAGTGGGAGCGGGCAGTGTGGTATTTAGGCTGGACGTGCCCTAGAAGCAGAGCATAAAGATAGAATAGGACAGAAAAGACCCAGAGCATCCGCTGTTCTTTACTAATGCAGTATCTCTTCCTTCAGGTGACTGGGAAGCTGAAGATCGGTACCTACACTGGCCCACTGCAGCACGGCATCGTGTATTCTGGAGGTGAGGCAGAACACTTCTTGTCCTGTGAAGTGGCTCTGACATGCCATGGTGGCCTTCATCCACTCATGAGGACTTGTGCAGGGTGGCTGGGTGTTATGCCAGAATCTAGGCAGGGCTGTGCTTCATGAAACACATCATTCTGTGCCTTTTGCGCCAAAAAAACTGTTGCTGCTCAGTGCTGAGAGGAAAGAGAGCTGTTCCTCAATGCCCTTCCCTTCCTTCCAGGGAGGGCCTGGGAAATGCCACTGCAGGGCTGGGAGTGGGGAGAGATGCAGCTAGGCCTGTTGGCAGCAGTGAGGACAGCTGGGAATGCTGCACAGAGTGGCTGCACCAGGGAAATGCAATGGCTGCACAGGGCTGTCCATAATGTTCTGGGCTCCATCACTGTTACGTGGCCAGGAGGCTGCTACATTTGTGTGAAGGTGTGTGTATATTCCAAGGGAAGGTGAGTGTGCAGTGCCCTGTTGAGTTTAGCAGTTGAAGATTTCTGGGAGGAAAATGAAGCAGCTGCATCCCTAAGCCCTGGTCCTCAGAATGGAGCCCTGCATTTCCCTTTGGCTCCTCATTCCGGCCATTCTGTTTTTTGTTTTAGGCTCCTCAGACACAGTCTGTGACCTGCTGGGGGCTAAAGGGAAGGATATTCTGTACATTGGAGATCACATCTTCGGAGACATCCTCAAATCCAAGAAGCGCCAGGGCTGGAGGACCTTCCTAGTGATCCCTGAGTTGGCACAGGAGCTACACGTCTGGACTGACAAAAGCGGTCAGCAGGGGGCACAGGGGAGAGATCGCACTGTCTTGCAACCTTTCTCCCAAACCCATCTTAGATTCCCTGGGATGAGGTGTTGGTGCAGCAGCTGGGTTGCTCACAGGGTCCCAGGGTTTTTGCCTTTGATCACCCAGCCTTGACTTGGCCAGAGGAGAAGCTGCTGCTGGTTGGGGTTGAGCTCATCTGTAACCTCGTTCCCAAAACTCTGTCTCTGTAGTGCCGTGTCTTCTCTAGTAAAAAGTATCTAACAAGATAGCCATTTTTTTTCACCCTTTGTCACCTGAGCCATGTCTGCTCTCCAGTCTGCAGAGAATCCCTGCTTACCAGGTGCTTCCTCTCCCTTCCTCCTCCTCCTCCTCCCTCTGCTGCCAAAGTGCTGTTTCCCAAACTTGAGCACTCCTGCTTTTCTCCCAGGTTTACGTGCTGACGTGTGAGTCGGTCTGGGGGTTATGCACATTGTCCCACGAGTGGTAGGAAGGTTTCTGTGAGGGCTGTGAAGGTTCAGCCTCAAAAAACTGAAGTGGTAACCAGAAAGCAATCCCAGAGCTCTGTTGATGGCATAGAGCGCAATCGAACCCTTTCCCTGCACAACGCTGTGACATACATCTCCCACCACGGTCATGTGGGCAGGATGGTGCATTTGTTTTCAGCCCTTTCATTTTGAGGTTAAACTCACCTTTTCCCCCTTTCTTTTCCGGGTCATCCAGCCCTTTTTGAAGAGTTGCAGAGCCTGGACATCTTCTTGGCCGAGTTATACAAGTGAGTGTTCAAATGCTGACCAGTGTACTGCTGCCTTTCCCAGCCTAGCAACAGCTAATGCGTGGCTCTGACGAACCCTTGGGGTTGGGTTGGCAGCACTGCTGCCAGAGCTTTGCCTCAGGCCTGGGTTCTGCCCCTGAGACCAACCTCCCCCTCCAGACCAGCCTCCCTCCCTAAGCCCCCATCTCACAACATCTGGTTCTGAAAGGCTTTTCACAGCATGTATTTACCTTCTCGCCTGTAACTAGGCATCTGGACAGTAGCAGCAATGAACGCCCTGACATCAGCTCCATCCAGAGACGCATTAAGGTACCAATCATAAAAATCCCTTTTCATCCTTTTGGATCCCAAAGGGCTTGACAACCCGACCCACTGCTCAGCCCTGAAATGCTTTGCTCTGCCTTTGGGTGGGCATGGCAGGCTTTGCAAAGCCGTTTTGTCTGTGGACGCAAACGGAGGAGCTTCCCAGCTCACTGGTGTCACTGGCACTCCTAAAGGCAGCCTGGTCTGGAATAGGGTCTCCTTCCTTAAGCACGTAGCACCTACTTACAGTGCTCGCTGCTGCAGAGCAGGGTGCTGATGTGTGCCTGAAGGGGCCGTAGCCTCCGGTTCATTCAGCCCTGCGTGCGAGGTCCCAGCCTGGGGCGGGTGCCTTCCCTTCTGTTAGCTGGGGCCCGGCTGCGCTTTGATGCCTTGGGATAAGAGCACACAAAAGCTCACTGGAGATCCTTGCAGGCTTTACGTAGCCCCCGGCCTTCAGTGACGCTGAGGCAGGGCCGGCTCTGTGCTGCCGTGTGCCCGGGCCGGGATTTAACCTATCCTTTGCTTGTAGAAAGTGACCCATGACATGGACATGTGCTACGGGATGATGGGGAGCCTCTTCCGCAGCGGCTCCCGGCAGACCCTGTTTGCCAGCCAGGTGATGCGCTACGCCGACCTCTATGCAGCCTCCTTCATCAACCTCCTTTACTACCCTTTCAGCTACCTCTTCAGAGCCGCCCACGTCCTGGTGAGTTGCAGGCACTGGGGGGCACGCCACGAGCTGGCAGCACTGGGAGGATGGGGTGGTACGTTCTGGGGCCTTGTGCTCTGGTTGCCTCGCCATCTCCTCTCTCTCTTACACCTTTAGATGCCACACGAGTCCACAGTAGAGCACACACACGTGGACATCAACGAGAAGGAGTCGCCCATGGCCACGCGCAATCGCACCTCGGTGGATTTTAAGGATTCTGACTACAAGCGGCACCAACTGACCCGCTCCATCAGTGAGATCAAACCGCCCAACCTCTTCCCCCAGGCACCTCAGGAAATCACACACTGCCACGATGAAGATGATGATGAGGAAGAGGAAGAGGAGGAGGAAGAGGAAGAAGAAGAGTAAGAAGGAAGAAGTAAAGAATTTCTGAAGATAAACCGTGACTCTAGCAGTGATGAGGAGGAGATTCCTATGTTGGGGCCCTTGGGGTGATGGGTTGGGGGTGTGTGATTCCTGCAAAGGCACGTTTTGAAAGCGGCCGGAAACTTTCATCAAATTAACACTAATCAGGAGGAGACCTTTGTTTTCAGTTCTGCAGACGGTTCAACAAGCTGATGGATCTGCCTGGGTGGTGCAGTCAGATGGCGCTGCCCGCCCGTGCTGTAACGCTGCTCCCATTCCATATGGGGATGCTGCGTGATTTTTTCCTTTCCCATGATGTGTTTCCATTCGAACGGTGTCCTGTAAACGGTTTTTGCCATTTGTTACATTCATGTGGAGGAGGAAGGGATGTGCTGAGCCCTGCAGGAAACACAACAATCCAACTCCTGCCACTGGGTTGCCACCCTTTGCTCTACTGCATTCAAACCATCCCCACCACGATAGCCAGGGTGCTGCTGTAGCCTCCAGCTCCACGTCCACCCCTGCTTGGCAAGAGTCTCCTGTGAATGGTTCAGTTCCTCCGTCCATCACAGATAGCAGCAGGATTCCGGCTCTTACGTGCATTTTGCAGCTGTACACATTTCAGTTTGTAGGCGGTGTTGTCCCCTCCCTGTTTCACACTCTCTTTCATCAGCAGCATTCAGTGCCTGATTGCCAGCGCGTTTCCCAAACAGCAGAGCCGCACGCTGTGTTCTCAACTCAACTCCTGTCCTTCCAACAGTAAATATTTACCCCACAGCTTCAAGCTACCGCTTTAGCGTTACATTAGTTGGCTTGTCTTCCTCGCTGCCTGTTCCTGACCCTTCTGTCTGTCCCAAAGACAAAACCAGCCACAGTGAGGGACCCTGTTTCCAGGGTGCTGCTGGACAAGCAGCTCTACCCCAACAGGAAACAGCGTATGCCACAGTGCTGGGCAGGAGGCTCTCATCCACCCGCAGCTCCATCGCCTTTGGCCCGGTGCAGAGCACAGTGATGCTGCGTCCTGGCTGAGGGAGTGACTCATGGCTGCCATGTGGGGACCGGACCGCTGTGGCTGATGGTGCAGCTCTGCCATTGCTGGTCTTTCTCTCTGTTATGGGTGCAGCTTCCCTGACTCCAGCCTGTGCCGTTCACATGTGAAGGGATTACAGTGGGGGGGGCCTCTTGTAATGAATTCGACTGTTGTTTCAGTACCATAAGCGCATTTAATCTTCTTTTTTTCTTCCCCCCCCTATTTTAAAGTACCTTAGGAGAAAATAAAAATAATACACATCACCACCCTCTGAGCAGGAAATGCTGCTACTGAAGTGGCAGTTGTTCAAGTCAATAAACCGTGATGTTTCTAAGAAGTGCCTGGTGCATTATGGCACAGTGCTGGGCTGAGGGCTGGCTGGCACTGGGCAGCAGGTGGTGTGGGGGGCAGCAGGTGGGAAACAGCCCCAGCTGGAAGGGAATGCCAGAGCCAGCCCTGCATCCTTGCACTGAAGGCTGTGCTGGCATTTGCTATGTCTAATCATCATTTCTCCAAGTAGAGCCACTTGGATTCTTCAGGCTTTAGCTCGGCAGCTGGAGAGGGCATGAGGCTGTGAGCAGGGCGATGCGGGGAGCTCTGCACATTCCTTTTGCCTCTGTAGTCCCACAAATAGCCTGCTCCCAGCCCAGGGCTATTTCTGCCAGCGACAGGGAGATGTTGCAAGGCTGGAGCAATGGAAGGTATCAGGCCCCCATTCACTGGTGGGAAAGCAGAGGCAGAGCCTGCCAGGCTCCCTCATCCCACCCTTACAGGGCTCTGAATCACAGAACCCTGGGGTTAGAAAGGATCTTAAAGCCCACCCAGTCCCAGTCCCTGTTGTGAGCTGGGTGCCACCCACCAGTTCAGGTTGACCAGGGCCTCACCCAACCCAGCCTTGGGCACGTCCAGTGATGTAGCATCCACAGCTCTCTGGACACCAGAGCCAGAGCCTCACCTCCCTCTGAGTAATGAATTTCAGACAGCACACAACAGCCAATGCCAACATAATTGCCATCAGGAATGCCCAACAACCAACAGAGGCTGTCTATCAGTCCCTGTGCCATGCCCAGGGGTCTCTCCACCCACAGGGCCAGGTGTGACGGCTCCACCAGCACCCACCTGTGGGACCCTCACTCCTCATGAGCTGCTCACAGTGACCCGGTCCTCGATGGTGGAGCCCCACAGCTGCTGCTCCAGAGAACGCATTCACAGATGCTGGGTGCATCCTGGGTGCTGCCAGCACTGCCTCAGACAGTCAGACTGCAATGCAGGAGAAAAGCTGGACTCTCACAGTCAGTAAAACCCTTTTCCTGCTTACTTCCAGGCAGTGCTTGACAGTGATGCAGCCAGGCCCTTCCTGCACCAGGACTGGGCAGGCAAACCAATTCCCATTCCCCAGCCTCTTGTGCCCCCCCCTCCCCAGGCTCTCCTGCCCCATTCCTCTCCCCGACGCTCTTACTCTGGCCACTCCAAGACCCTGCACAACACACAGTGGGAATGAGGTAGGGCCAAGCAGATGGAGTTCCTACTTCCCAAAAAACAAATGGGATATATGGCAAGCATGTTGTAAATAAAGGACTTTTATTAGAGAAAGAAAAAGGCCATCAGCCTTGAGGCACCGCTGCCTTTGCCAGCCCCGGGCTGCAGAATGGACGGCCCCCAGACCCCAGTGCAAAGAACACAAGCAGGCCCTACTTGATCTGGCCTCTCCATCGCTCCTGACAACTGCTGAGGAGTTCAAGGCTGCCCAGTGCCAACAGCAATTCCTGATCAGCGGAGATCTGGGGCCGGGGTCACCACCATCAGCCCCACCACCCACCACCACGTGCCAGCAGCCGGCCCTTTGGAAGGGGGGGAAGAGCGGAGAAGGGAAAAATGCATAAACTGGAATGTCCAACAGAAAAAAAATCATCATTTATCTAGAAGAACAGAAATAAACAAAACGCTTTCAAACAAAATCACAAAATATACAAATAAATCAGGTACAAAATAAATAGGAAAGATTGGAAATCTACAACAAAATTAGAATAATTATAAAATTCACTTGTATGACAATCAGTATATGAAACGTATACACTTCATCCATGATTTCAGTTGTGCTTACTCAGGTTTATGTACACACATGGAAATACTGTAGTCAGAACACTACAACTCCGGAGACCCGACACAATGTACAATATGATACAATCAGCAAAGACCACGTGCGACGGGCAGTGGGACGTGGGAGGGAGCAGGGAAGCGCTGGGCTCAGCCACCCCGAGCACGGGCTGCAGGGCCGGCGTGGGCACAAAGCTCTGCTGGGAGAACAGCCGGAGGGTTTGTGCCGTGCTCCCGAATGCAGGAGGAAGGTTTGGTTTCAGAGCCCAGCGGCTGCAGAGAAGCAGCTCACTGTGGGTTCCCGGTGACACAGGAAGGTGCCCTCAAGTACTCGAGTTTTTGGATTCAATCTGTTTGGCATTCAGGTGCGAAGCAAGCTGCTCTGCTGAATGCGCACGGACAGAGCACAAACACCGGGCAAAGGGATCCAGGCCTGGCTGCAGCGCAGTCACCAGGAGCCCCGCCGTACTCCATCACTGATCTTTGGACAAAACCCGAAGGCATTCTTTCAGTATTGGCACTTCCAACTAAAGGCTGCCCCCAGCCTCAGCCCAAGCCCGGGCCCACCTGGGGGAAAGACTAAAGGAGAAGTGCTCAGGAACTGAGCTTTGGAGGACTCCATTATTGGTCCTACCTGAAGGAAACCAGGGCCCGAAGGAAAACCTCAGGAAAGGTTTTCACAAAATTTTTCAACTGCAGCCAGAAAAGCAGCAGCTCGAGTACCTTATCTGCAAAATCCCTATGGTCTGACATGAGGATTACAAGAGGACACTGTCACTTTGGTAGAGTTTGATGCTACTGACCCAAGAAAACTTTTCTCCATCACCTGCGCCCAGGCCTGCTCTGGGGAACACGCCCAGGGCCCATATCCAGCTCCTAACACAACAGCAGCTACACAAATCCAACCTGAGAAGCTCAACCGTACCACTGTGGATCTGCAGCAGGCAGCTGCGTGCCCTCGCCTGGGTACAGCCCTGCAGCCACGAAATTAAAACAGAAGAACAAGAGGACAAGCTCCAGGACAAGAGCAGAACACCAAGAAGGACTGTGTCCCCCTGTGCTGGTGCTGTCTCAGGGATCACAGTGCAGGGCCCTGCAGCTGATGGACCAAGGACACCAGGGAGCAGGGGGGGGTCAGCCTCCCAGCCCACAGCGCGGGGCTCTGCCTGTCAGGTCAGGATGAAGGCCTCTCCCTTTTCAACGCCATGCAATGATGCCTGGTTTCCACTCCCATTTGTTAAGTTCAGTTCAACAACAATCAACCCTCAGTATCCAAGGACCAGGCACTTCTTTGGCACTCTCTCTTTCACTACAGATCGCTCCCCACCCGCCAGCCCCAGCTTCCTACTGGCATTGGATAACGCAGCAACTGGTACATAGGCACTGGTTTTAAAACCACAGACGTGTATTAGACAGCATATCAAATACGGTACATCTTTCATGTGGGAACGATCTGTACAGTCTGTTTCAGCACAAGGAAGATGCACGTCCCAAGCGGTCCTGGAGGTGGCAGCTGTGCTGTCCTTAGGGCAGGGTACTTACACGGGATGTCCGTCGGGGGGCAACCCCTCACAAAGCCGCCTCTGGTTTCCTTTCCTCTGAGCTGAACTGAGCCAGAGTCCCACCAGTGCCAACCTCATCTCTGGAACTGGGCCTGCAGCTGGGGAGCAGCACAGGGCGATGTGTCCGTGGGTGTCACGGGCAGCTGAGCTTCCTGCAGGTGCCTGCTCCACCCGCACAAAAAGGCACTTAAAGAAAAGAAGAATAAAAAATGATAATAACCCTGCGGTGAGAAAAGGGGAGTAAGTGTAGGAGAGAGGGGGGACAGACTGTGGAGCACAGCGCTGAAGGAGTGGCCCAGCACAAGGCCCGCAGGTCTCAGCCCCAGGCAGGGTCTGTCAGCCCAGAGCCGCCATGCATGCGTGTCAGGGCACAGGGAGCACGAGGGGCAGCAGGAACACAGCTGAGGTACAGCTGGAGCAAGGGAGGGAAGCGCGGGGAGGACCGGTGCTGCTGGGGGCATCACTAGGGCACGGCCTGCCCAACCCCTGCGCTCTCAGCCCTGGGAAACCTCGTCCTGAGCCCTGGGGATAACGGACAAGCTGGGGTCTGAACGAGGGGACAAACCAGAGCTCCGTGAGCTGCAGAGGCCGAGGAGTCTCGCTGCGCCCACCTGAGCCCCTCTGCGCTCAGCCACGTGCTTTGTAAGATCTCCACGTCACCAGAGGCAGTCTCGTTTGGAGAACGATTCTCATTGGAAAGCAAGAACATTCCTTCACTCTTTACAAAGATTTGGCAATACACAGAATTTAAAAAAAAAAATCATAATTACAACAGATTCAGGTTCATTTCTTTAAAGGAAATTCAACCAACAGGAGTGTAAAAGTTATAATTCACAGTTGTGCATTTAAGATATTAGTGTTTAAAATGTCACTTCAAAGAACTCTTTGTGCAAAATTGTATTGACAGTAGAAACCATGGCGAGATGCCCTCCGGCCCCCAGGCTGCCACCCGCCCCACGACGGACACGGTGAGCTCAGTGGCAGCAGAGCTGACACGGGAAGATGCAGTATCCTTTCTGCAAGCCAAAGCCTTGCCAAGGTCTGAGGTCAAGCCCAACGATTCCCAAAGCCACCACCAGTGCCCCATGGCACCGCGCTGACCCATAGCTCCACCACGCACACACGCGGCACAGGGGCGCAGGTCACGGCATCTGAGCCCACCTGAACGAAGAAGCAGTGAGCCAGGATAACCAGAGCCAGTGCTGGCACGGAGCCACAGCATTTCCATCGCGGCGCAAAGAGCCATCTGAGATGAACAGGGCTCCTCTGCTTGTGCTGGCTCCTAGCACAGGGCTGGGAACCCCTTGCCTTTGTGAAACAGTAAGACTGCAAACTCCCTGAGAACAGGGAGATAGGATTCCTTCCCCTCCGCCGAGAGGACCGTGCCTCGCGCTTTGAGCTAATTTGAAGTAGCAGCTCCCAGCCCCTCCGGGTCAGGTACATATTTTCCATATGAAACACATCTACAATCAAATATTTTTCTGGAAATTATTTCACTTTCCATTATCAGATCTGTACACATGATGAAAAAGTCACACAAAAAAAAATGGCCTGGAAATTTGTGAACAGTGCAGCATGGGCAGAAGCAGGAGGTATTTGCTTTGGGATTACAAGGCTTTGGTTGGAAAATTTGGCTTTTTTTTTTTTTTTTTTTTCTTTTTTTAATGGAAAGAGACAC